TCTTCCCAACAACAGAGGATTCGATACCTACTTGGGTATGTATTAATATTGTGTAATTGACTGAGTCAGTTAATTGAATAATTAATGGATCAAACAATCAATTCATCAGACAATGATCGATTATTGATTAATTAATTCATTTATATGGGAATTGAATTATTATGTAATTCAACATAGGCTGTCCGTTGTGTTCAACAACACCATAAGAAGGTCAGAAATGTACTTACCACTAGAAAACAGCGAGCGTTGATAGTTTAGTAGACTTGCCACAAGTCTCAACTTTTTGATTTTTTTTTTGTGTTAGAAACTTTCAGAAAACGCCCCCAATTATATTATGGAACGACCTTGGTGCAAATAAGTAATATGGAACCAAAATTGATGTATACATTCGAAAGCTCCTTTTTCTTCACATTGAATGAATTTTTTCTTTGATGTTCTTCTTTTATCACTTTACATATGCATAAAAATGTTGATTCAAATTAACATTTAACATTCAATATGTAAACTAATGATAACAATTATAATGTAACCATGGATATAATATAAATTGGTTGAGTAAAATACTGATTAATTGATTGATTAACTGATTAATGAATAAATAGATAGATAGATAGATAGATTGATTGAGTGAAAGTGATTTAATTAATTAATTATTATTAATTAATTAAATAAATAAATAAATAAATAAATAAATAAATAAATAAATAAATAAATAAATAAATAAATAAAAATAAATAAATAAATAAATAAATAAATAAATAAATAAATAAATAAATAAATAAATAAATAAATAAATAAATAAATAAATAAATAAATAAATAAATAAATAAATAAATAAATAAATAAATAATTAAATAGATAGATAGATAGATAGATAGATAGATAGATAGATAGATAGATAGATAGATAGATAGATAGATAGATAGATAGATAGATAGATAGATAGATAGATAGATTGATTGATTGAATGCTTGATTGATTGATTGATTATTATTATTAATAATAATTAATCGATCAATCAATCAATCAGTCAGTCAGTCAGTCGATCAATTGATTGAATGATTAATGATTGAATGAATGAATGACTGATTAAATGAATGAATGAATGAATGAATGAATGAATAAATTGATTAGTTTATTGGTCGATTGATCTTCTAATGTAAAACACACTTTAAATAATAAATTCAGGTCTGCTACTGGGAGGAGGCTACCAATTTAGCCATTCTTTCCCGGAGCCTCCGTATTATGACTTCCATCGGGACCTTGCAGCTGCAAAGGATTACAACGGCACTTACTCTACTTACGCCTTTACTAATGAAGCAATTGATATCATAAACAACCAAGATGAAGACACGGTAAGTTTTAATAATAAGCCGTATCGAATTCCATACAGTATGCAGCCAAACAATATTAACACATAATTATGTTGCATTTGGAAAATCACTGGCGTAGAATTTATTAATAATAAAATTTTTCTATTCCAACCAAATAGTTGTTTCAATGTTGTTATTATGTTCGCATATCCGAACAAAATAATAGTGAAAAAGTTTCTATCATTCCACTTTATACAATAGTACTGTATGAATCACTTTATCACGTTCTTGGTTTGCTGTTCAAAGCTTCGAAAACTCATATATACATAATCGTTACTCCATGGTATGTCAGTTGTCAATTTAGACAGATTCAAGCAATATTTACTGAAAATAAACTTAAATCTGAATCACTATTTCGGATTATATTTTCTAGCCTTTCTTCATGTACCTGTCCTACCAAGCACCGCACGCTCCTCTTGAAGTACCCGAGCAATACAAGGACCCATACCGTAGTATTTTCAACAATGAAGACAGAC